TGGTACACCCAGTACTATCTACTCCTGGAGTTTATGTATTCTGGTATACCCGGTATTATCTACTCCTAGAGTTCAAGTATTCTCGGTACACCCTGTACTATCTACTCCTAGATTACATGTATTCTGGTACAGCCTGTACTATCTAATCTACTCCTTGAGTACATGTATTCTGGTACACCCTGTACTATCTACTCTAGGATTTCATGTATTCTGGTAAATCCAGTACTATGTTTTCCTTGAGTATTTGCATTCTGGTACACCCTGTATTATCTACTCTTAGAGCTCAAGTATTCTCGCACACCCTTGTTGACATATGCCCGGGACCTTGGTGTCCCTGCTAAATTTAAAAAGGTGATGAATTGATGTCCCGACTAAATTTAATGAGGTGATGATTCTCTCTCTATTGCAGTTCAAGTCGTTAGTTTCAAAAAAATCTTGTTGGATTTATTTCAAACCTGGAAAACATAAATAATGTAATGAAAATGTTTAAAATGTTATCGAAAATGCGGGGTATATATTTATAAAATGACATTGTACATAGTAAAAGTAAAACTTACTATTGGGTCTTAAAACACACAAAAGAGGAGTGATAGGTTGATGGCTAAAACATGTTTTAGGATTTTGATTTATATCACTTCAACGTGGACTCTAAATTTTTGTTTATGAATTGAGGAGGTATGGAAAGGTTTGGTTTGGTGTGCGTGTTCAGTCTCCGGAAAGAAAATTTCAATAAAGACGACTTTCAAGAGGATTTATCATAATTTTGTTCAACAACCCTGTACTATCTACTCCTAGAGTACATGTATGTAGAAAATGCCTAATTCCTCCTTAGTCTTTAAAAGCTGAAATGTGCTGTTTCAATCTATCACAAACTCTATCCTATCCAGGTATATACGATCCGTAAATAACAAGAGTCTGTGTTAAACTGCCTATATTTAGATTTAAAAAGGTACAGATAAATAAGTTGACCGCAACTAGGGTCAATGAACTAAATAACCTATATTTACGGGTTATAAAGAAATAAACTAAATAAGGGTTTTTATTACATTTATTCTGGTACATCCTGTACTATCTACTCCTGGAGTACATGTGGTACACACTGTACTATCTTCTCCTGAAGTACATGTACTTTGTTACACCATGTACTATCTACTCCTGGATTTCATGTATTATGGTAAACACTGTACTATCTACTCCTGAAGTACATGTACTTTGGTACACCATGTACTATCTTCTCCGGAAGTACATGTACTTTCGTACACCCTGTACTATCTACTCCTGGAGTTCATGTATTATGGTACACCCTGTACTATCTACTCCTGGAGTTCACGTATTCTGGTACACTCTATATTATCTACTCCTGAAGCAAGTTCAAGTTTATTGTTTGACAGATTAGATTCCTAGCTGGGCATAAGCAGTAGTTAAGGCGTTACCAAAATGGGGAGGGGCATGAGGGGGGGGGGATGGTTGATTGGATGATTGGAATAAGGGGGGTGGGGATTGGGCGAACCTAACACTGGTTTGATCCTATGGTTGACATTGTGAAGAGGGGGGGAGGGGGCAATTTATTGACTTAAAATGTCCTTCCTCTACACTTCATACTACAAAAAAAAACATATGGACAGTGTCCGCTTCGCAATTTTCAAATTTAACACATTCCACAATAAATTCATAATTGTTGCTTTTATAGTCAAGTTTATTGCATAATTTGATAGTTTAAAGATAGGCTTTAAACTTGTAGAATACACAATCAATCTTGAGGAATTTTGAGAATTTCATCATAAAATTGAACCCTGGACATTTTTTCTGAATTCCCACGAAAAACATGTTCATGACAGTTTGATTATACTTAATCATTCATTTTCTTTTCTACCCTTAAAGCAACATATCTGTTTAAAGAAAAATAATAGCCCGGCATTGATTCAATGTTGCCTCTTCAAACTAAACACAAAATTAATAGTATTTTAAAAAAAAACTAATTTTGAAATTTTTTGTTAATTGCAATTTCTAGAACATAATTTAGCTCGGATCATTTTATGTAATTAAAAAGTTTACTTCGTATATTTAATTGTGAGAATTTGCCTTTTTTGCGTGAATAATAAGCTGTAATAATCTGATAATAAATTTAATAATAATTTTTGGGATTTTTGGCGTTTCCGAACGTCAATTTTCAACAAATGCCTCAAACGATTAGTAGAAGATTTTTAATTTGAAGTTAGCTGGTAAAAACTGAGTCATTTTCTTTTCTGTCTTTGCTTTAGAAATTCGAAAATTGGCTGCAAATTATAAATTTGATTTATGTTTCATTTTTTAAATTAAACGTTACTTGAAAGATGTTGATAATCCCACTAAAAAAAAAACAAAATAACAACTTTTTTACTAAATATTTCCCACCATTTAGCGGCGGCAGGGTGGTTGAAAAGTAATATTGAAACAGAATTTGTTTTTGAAAGTTATGAAATTTGTTTTTAGTTTTAAATGATTTTATTTTATTGTTCTAGTTTCTAAACTAAACACTAAACACCCCCCCCCCCTGCAGGTTGCAAGAAATAACCATAATAACAGAAAACCCTGTCAATGTACATATATTGTACTTTATAGACACTATGATTGCATTTTGCCATGATTAGGTTAAAACAATGCCAAGAAATAGTTGAAAAATCATCAAGTCTAGCACACCATTCCAGACATTGTGTTCCGAAAAAAAATCTAATTTCGAAATTGTATAATACATTTGCAGTCATTTGGACTTTTCGCGGTGAGATTTTAGTTTTTGAATGAACAGTAAAAAAGTTACAAAATGTTCTAATCTTATACCTAATTGAATATCAAATACCAAATTTTTGTGACACCCTGTATATATATTATATTTTTCATTTTAAAGTCCATAAAGTATTGGTTACGTGAGCCCCCAGGATTCCATTACTATCGGCTAGACCTGGTGCTATAATGGTTTTACAACTATATAATATTACTGTTTGCATCATTAAATTAATTAATGCACTTTAATATCGAGAAATGATTATTTTAATAAATTTGGCCTAATTTGACTATATAAAATGAAGAAAAAAAATCTATATTTATACTTGTCTGGGTGTTTGAATTCAATACACTTCTAAAGGCTGAACAGATCGCGCAAAAATATTCTGTGGGGCCTCACATGATCAAAATTTCAAAATTTACCTCCAACAAAATTCGATTTCCATTAAATTTTTAAAATCCACGACATTTTTTTTATTAAATCCCGCGAACTGTTTTTGTTTTACAAATTATGTATACAAAGTTAAAATGTACACAATTGAAAAAGAAGATGGGCGAGAAGCGCCCTGAAATCCTAGTTACAATAAAAATGTTTATCTGAAATATAGTTGTAATTTTTTTAAAATTGTGTGATTGGAAAAGGTTTATTTTATTTGTAAATTATAATCCTGATAAAAATGTTCATGAATTTTGAAAAAAAAAATGTTTATTAATAATTTATTACTTTGATTGGACGTTGTGGGATGGAATTATAAGATCCGTTTTGAATGGGGTTTCTAAAAAGTTCTTGAAAATAAACTCAAGAAAATGAATTTTTTCTTCTCGAGCACTTTATATATCATTAATCTCATCTGGCAGCACTACCCTTTTCAAAATGTCGACCGAGACAACGACAAAAAAGTATTTCGTTCCAAACGAAAGGTATTGGGATACCCCCTGATAAAAACACAGTTCCTTGTGAAACTAATTACAATCCGCCTGATGTCAATCAAGTGTCAAAACCCCTGTCAATATTGTGTCTACCACTATTATCTTGATCAGACAAAATGCGCGACATGCGCTGCTTTTTAACCAAACTTTATGCTTGCTCAAGGATGCCGGGCACCACAGGGTTTAGTGGTTTTTATTCCCGAACTTTTCAGAGCTGTTTGGGCTCGACAATCTACATGGTCAACTTCAGTAGTTTCAAAAATAAATTTGTCATTACATTTTTCCAGATTTTTAACGAAAACAAATCGTTCGTTAAAGAAAGATTTGAAATCCGTTCATCTCTTCAAAATTTTACATGTCAAAATCCTCTAAAATGTTTAGAAAATTGTCTTAAATCCTCCAAGTATTTTCCCCTAAAAGCAACGCCACCTCCCCCCCCCCGGCCCCTGTTCATTTTTAAAGGGAGTGACCGGCTATGTAAGGTAGTTGAATTGAGTATGCAGTGTTGTGGAAAACTTCTTTCGGATTCATTTGAGACATATTAAACTTTTTAAAGATCTGTAAATTCTGAGTTTGAGCACAAATTCGACGTTCAAAACGGTGGATTCGTTTTCAGAATTAGTTTTTTTTTCAAATTATTAAATAACGACAACGAAAAATAATGTAAAAATTATACAGTAATCTAATTAGATGGTTAGGAACATATTTCTCTAAAGAAATATGTCTATAAATCAATGGTAAAATCGATTATTTCGTTTTCATTATTATATGGAATTTCTTATTTTCTTTGAATTTATTCGCAGATTTCTTCAAATTCTTCAAATGTTGTCTTTTCAATAATAATTCTAGAAAATCTGCAGAAAATCTTTGTGAATGATGAGAAACCAGAATAATGAGAAAATAGAAATTAATAATTGAACAAGATTACTTATTTTCGATGATAAAATTATTTTTTATTTTCTCAACCATGACGTCTGTAGTTTATTGTAGAACTTTTTCAAATTTTATGTCGTCGTTATTTAATAATTTAAAAAAACTAATTCTGAAAACGTATCCACCCCCAAAGTTGGAGTTTTGAACATCGAATTTGCGCTCAAACTGAGGATTTACAGATCCGAAATGAATCCGAAAGAAGTTTGCCACAACACTGCATACTCATTTCAACTACCTTACATAGCCGGTTACTCCCTTTAATAACTTTGATATTTATCTTACGCTCTTGTTAGTATAGTTATTTTTTCTTTCTTTTCGTTAAAATTTTGTCTAGGTTATAAAATGAAAAAAATAAAAACTGTTTGATTGATTGATAGAATTCCGATAGAATGCTGAAGTCTCGAATACAGTACAAAACATCCGAATAAAAATCTAAAAATATGAAGGTAATAATTTATCCATAATTTTAAAAACATCACTTCCTTTCTTTCCTTCTAATATCTTCTGTTTTCTAAACTATTTGTCTATATCTGGGTCTAGGTTTTGTATTTATTTGGTTGGTATTCGAAGGTAACCTTGAGGTTTATAGGGAATCCTGGATGGATTAAAGATTGAAACATTATCACAAGATATTTACTCACCCTGCTACAGTTAAAATCTATGTTTTCAACTGTAAAGGGAGAGACTACACGACATGTGACTAGTATGATTTTATCCTTATATCAGTGTAAAAATAAAACCAGGAGTTTCATAAGATGGCAGGATGGGGGGAGGGTTTTATATAATGACAGGAAGGGTTTGGCGGTTTTTTCTTTTTTCCAACTTCTTTGTTTTCATTTGTTTGTAGTTTTTAGGATTATGTCTTTCACATCAAGTACCTAGTGTCTAGTGTCAAGTGTCTAGTACCTAGTACCTAGTGTCTAGTGCCTAGTACCTATAGTACCTAGTGTCTAGTACCCAGTACCTAGTGTCTAGTGTCTAGTACCTACTACCTAGTATCTAGTGTCTAGTGTCTAGTACCCAGTACCTAGTGTCTAGTGTCTAATACCCAGTACCTAGTGTCTAGTACCTTATACCTACAGTATCTAATACTATAGTACCTACATAATTCCTATAGTACCTGGTACCTAGTATCTAGTACATAATTTCTATAGTACCTGATACCTAGTATCTAGTACATAATTTCTATAGTACCTGGTACCTAGTATCTAGTACATAATTCATATAGTACCTGGTCCTAGTATCTAGTACATAATTCATATAGTACCTGGTACCTAGTATCTAGTACATAATTCATATAGTACCTGGTCCTAGTATCTAGTACATAATTCATATAGTACCTGGTACCTAGTATCTAGTACATAATTCATATAGTACCTGGTCCTAGTATCTAGTACATAATTCATATAGTACATGAAACCTAGTATCTAGTAAATAGTACCTTTTCTATGTACTGTTTACAGTAATAATTTGCATACTTATTTTAAAAAGATGTTAGAAGCTTGCATTTACATTTGTAGAATTGATATTCTTACAATTTTAAGAATTAGTGAAGGAAATGGCTGAACTATCTAAAGAGAAGTAAATACCGTTTTCCGTTGCAAAATATTTAAACAAGAGAGAGAGGTTAAAGATCATTTAATACTTCTTTAATGGCAATTATAAAAAATACTATACATGGTAAATTATAATTTTTCCACATTTTACAGTTCTGTTTTTTTACATATTGGCTCACGGCATTGCATCTCTTCTGTAAATTTTATCAATGCTCTTTCAATCATCAATGACGGACATATTAAAGGAATTGAGTCTTTGGCTACAAATTCTGATTTTCCAAGCCCTATACATAGTAGACCTCAGATATTTCTAACTACGAATTCTGCAGGAATTGGAAAATTTGAATTTGTGGCAAGATTCCTTTGTCCTTTTTTTCAAATCAGGATACGCTATCATTTTTCAAATCAGGATACGCTATCATTTTTCAAATCAGGATACGCTTTCATTTTTCAAATCAGGATACGCTATCATTTTTTCAAATCAGGATGCGCTATCATTTTTTCAAATCAGGATGCGCTATAATTTTTTCAAATCAAGATACGATATCATTTTTCAAATCAGGATACCCTATCATTTTTCAAATCAGGATGCGCTATAATTTTTTCAAATCAGGATACGCTATCATTTTTCAAATCAAGATACGCTATCATTTTTCAAATCAGGATACGCTATCATTTTTCAAATCAGGATACGCTATCATTTTTCAAATCAGGATACGCTATCATTTTTTCAAATCAGGATACGATATCATTTTTCAAATAAGGATACGCTATCATTTTTTGAAATCGTAATTTTTACAAAATAAAAGATTCTTTAAAAATTACAGAAATATTTTTATCTTCATGACAATTTTTTTTTTATTTCATAGATTGCACTTATTTCATAGTTTTCACTGATTTCATAGTTTTCACTTATTTCATAGTTTTCACTTATTTCTTAGTTTTCACTTATTTCATAGTTTTCACTTATTCCATAGTTTTTACTTATTTCATTGTTTTCACTTATTTCATAGTTTTCACTGATTTCATAGTTTTCACTTATTTCATAGTTTTCACTTATTTCATAGTTTTCACTTATTTTATAGTTTTCACTTATTTCATAGTTTTCACTTATTTCATAGTTTTCACTGATTTCATAGTTTTTACTTATTTTATAGTTTTCACTTATTTCATAGTTTTCATTGATTTCATAGTTTTCACTTATTTCAGAGTTTTCACTTATTTCATAGTTTTCACTGATTTCATAGTTTTCACTTATTTCATAGTTTTTACTTATTTCATAGTTTTCACTGATTTCATAGTTTTCACTTATTTCATAGTTTTTACTTATTTCATAGTTTTCACTTATTTCATAGTTTTCACTGATTTCATAGTTTTTACTTATTTCATAGTTTTCACTTATTTCATAGTTTTTACTTATTTTATAGTTTTCACTTATTTCATAGTTTTAAGTTTAGCTGACTTTGTAATAAGAGCTGAAAACTTTTGAATTAAATACCTTTAACCTCGATTGCTTAATCTGAATATCCAATGTGAAATATTTTAATTTCCTTCTTAATCCAATCTCTTTCTTTCTTTTTCTCTCCCTGCTGGTTTCTGACCAATGAGAGTTCACTTATTAAATGGCGCGCTAAGTTACAAATATCCCAGCTTCTCTGATTGGTTTCTCCAGACCCCACTTGATTTTTTGAGATATAAATACTTTTGTTGAATAAACTTTAGATTAAATCAATCCTGAAATTAGCAAAAAAGAGAAGATCATGTATTGATCTCGATATCCACAATTCTAAAGTTTTCAGCTCAGAACTTATATTTTTCACAAACTAAATTCATATATTTTAAATATTCTGTCGGTGGTAAAAAGTTGAATGTAGGGATACACAATACTGCATTGTTTCTAAATTAGTTATATTAATCTATTTATATATATATATATATATATCACAATGTGCCCAAGTCTATTAAGCTTTAAGCATAAATTCTATTTTAAAATATCTCTTCTATGTTCGCAGCAAAGAATTATAATGCAAAGACAGTTATTTCAGTGTACTGTCTCTGGGCGGTAAAGTAAACACAAGACAGATGTCACAGCATGACATGGGAGTCATCATTTAGATAAAAAATCAGTGAAATATTCTTGACAAAATTTTGAAAATTGAATGCTTTTATCCTCCTCGGATATTAGAGTAACACTGATGTATCTTTTCTTGTTTACAAACACCGCTCAGAGAGAACTGGTTTGTAATATGAACGCAGAGAATACGCAACAGCAATTAACTTTACTTGCCTCATTACTTTGGTTCACAAGGGTCCAAATAATTCCATTTCTGATCCTAAATGGGACTGGGGTTGAAAGTACATTTAGGGGCATGAAAGTACACTTTCTATGTCATTGTGAACGTTGGCAAGTTTTTTGTGTAAATGTACTACACTTTAGAAAAGTTTTCTGCAATCGGCGTGTTAAAAGATGGAAATATCATGGTACATTTTTCATATCTTACTTGTTTCTAACTCTAATTTCTTTAAATCTATACCTTTGCAACCTGATGTTTTGGATAATTTTATCACGTTAAACTAAAGTAAATTTAAACATTTTATCACGTCAAACTAAAGTAAACTGCAGGTTAGATTGAAATATAATGTATATGTTTTCAAATACAACTCCTTTAATTAAAGAACTATTTAGAAGAACAATATGTTTAGAGTTTCAAATTTGTAACAAAATAAATATGATTAAATTAAAACTAGAGGAGCTACAAGGTCATACAAATGGCCAAAATTTGAAAGATTGAAAAATAATTTTACCANTCCCCCTCAAACCCCCATCAATTAATAGCCTGTTCAATTTTTTTGGCGTAAAATGTGCGCATTGTCTCCCACGGTTTCCTTCATATACGCGCGCTAAAACTTGCTCTGTGTATTATTAAGCCCGTATTATAATGTATGTTCCCATACATATACCTACATATAAACATATACATACAAGCACGCAAATTATGACCTGGTTTGCATTTTTTTCACAATTGAATGTTTCATTTTCAGAGTTTGTACGAATTGGGAAAATTATATTGAAGGCTCGGAGCGCTCAAGAAAACTATAGATTTTGTATAATGGGCAGAATATGCTTTTTTTGAGGTTGTACTTATCATTAATCTAAATTACACCAAATATATTCCTTTTCACACGATTTTTTTAAATATAATGATTTCATTGTTTAGAAACAGATTATTCACTTTACTTTATTTAAATACAATTGTTGTTTTTAACAAATTAAAATTTTCCAAAAACAGTTTGAAACGTTAAAACTAAAAAAAAACCATTTGATGCAATACAATTCTAGACATAAAGAAAAGGCCAAATTTGTTTTAAATTACTGACACGACTTGGTGACCTCGTAGCGTATCTATTATTGATTTTACGCACAAGTATGACAAAGCATTTTGTTGCACCTTAGATATAAAAACTTCTTAGTATTGCTCTTCAAAAAAGACAATTTAGGATTGAAATCATGTGAGAACTATGAATATGACCTCAAAAAAGTTTAATAAATGGTAAAATAAAAAAAATATTTTGAATAAAAAATGTTGGAAATCCGTGAATACAATCGGAAAAATCTACAGAAATATTCATAGTTTTTAATTATTCTTAAAGAATGTTTCCAAAACTACTTTATTTTGACGTGGCGTTGTCTAGTCTCATGAAATCATGAACAGAATGATAGAAAAAACTAAAATGTTTTTATCAGGACATAACAAACTTTTTTTTATGATGAATTGATTTGACACATGGAAAAATAAAAGATACGCTTTTTTGCAGTTTTCTCATGTATAAACAAAAGCTTATTTACACTCTTTACTCAATAAGTTATCAAACATTTCAATTTGTTTAGT